TAAAAATAAAGACTAAGTATCAGATGTCACATTTGCTTTTGAACAAGTCTCCTGTAAGTTGAGCAGTGTTTACTGAATTTAGCAGCATAGGAGAAAGGTCAGAAAACTTTAGCTTATTGCCATGTACTTTAAAAAAATGTATTTATTTAATGTTTTATGTATATGAGTGTTTTGCCTGCATGCATCAAAGTGCACCCATGTTGTGCAATGCCCATGGAGGCCAGAAGAGGGCCTCCTGAAACTGGAGTTAGAAACAGTTGAAAGTTGCCATTTGGGTGTAGGGAACTGAACTTGGATCCTCTGCAAGATCAGCCAGTGCTCATATCCCATGAGCCATCTCTCCAGTCCCCAATACACTTTTTGATGCTACTTTACTGCTGTTATGCATTATAAAGACTAACTTGATACTGAAAGACAATTTTAATATTCCAAGTAGGAATTTTAAAAAGCCAACTTGGTAGATTTCAGTTTATTAATAAAACACAGACAATCTTAAGCTCAATTTTATAGTTAATTACCTAGGGAGATTTAAGAAAACACCCATTAAGGGAGTATTAACAAGAATAACTTTTTATACATACAGAATGGCACAGTCTTCAGGAAAGGAGTTTTCATGTGATGTGGAAGGAAGTACATTTGGTTTATTTTCCTGTTCATTCTGAGTCACAGGTATGTGATCTACATGAAAAAAGTACAAATGTAAGAAACAGGAATATCAAGTTAAAAATCATTTACTAAAATATTAAAATATTTTCACTGATTAGAAATTCTGCTTAAACAGAGCACTAAAATTTGGGAAGATAACTGATTTTGAGACTGAGCCATTAAGACGGTCAATAATCTCAAAAGCATTAAGAAACAAAAATGCAGGATAAATTAAAATACTTAGAAGAAATTGCTGTGGGAGAACTAGGTTGATCTGAACTTAAATCTAAATTTTAGTTATTTGTTATGAACATCAAGTGTTTCTAGTTCTGCCTATACTTTATAGATAAACAACATAGTGAAGGTCTTTTGCTTTCTCATTGTTCCACAACTATCTTTTGGGGGGGGATATAGGGTTTAAGGTAATTGATGACCCTTTTGATCTATGTTTTTTCTTATTTCCTCATGTATCTTTTTACACTGGATTCTTTTTTTCTTTTGTATGAAGAAAGAGCAAGTATTTACAGTTATAACTAAGCAAGAGAAGAAAAAGTAATTAGTGGTTTCATTACTGTCTAGGGAGTCCAGCTGGATCTCAGAAGGCTTGTTTTGACCTTAACACAAGCCTTTTTGTTTTTCTACACTGACAAGGTTTATTTTTGTTTTGATAAAGTTGTTACACTTCAGATGAATAAACTATATAAAACATAAAATTATCACACAACCTTTCTGTTGATAAAGACTTGAAACAAAAACCCAATTTAGTTGAAAATAAGTTAATTCAGAGAGGAAAAGCAATGTTGGTTACAATCAGGTCCTTGTTACCATCTCCTGAGTTAAAAGTGTCTCTCCTGTGAAACTACTGTAATCCCATAAGGGTGTGTTTATTCTGAAAGGCTACAGATGTGCTACAGGAATGAAAGGATTGTTTTGAGCTGAAAATACCTGAGAATCGACATATGCAGGAAGGAGCTTTTGTTTCTCTTAAACTATCTTAAAAACACATCCTCTTAAATAGTCACAAGTCTTCTCTTCCAGAAGTTTCAACCAGGGAAGACTGACTCATCACCGGAGCACAGAGGAAGATGACACCATACCCAGACAGATATCACAATCCGTAGTCTCCCACCTGTTGTCCTCAGGGCTCATTTACCTTTCAGAAGCCATCTCTACTTCCCCAATTACCTCTGTTCCTTCACCCTCTTCTAAAAAATCATTTGTTCTTCCAGAAGTGCCCCCTCTTACCCCATCTTCCCCTATTAAGATGGCATGATAATCTCTCAAACCTCACTACTAAGTTGGATCCTCGCTTCTTTCTATGAAGCTACAGTACCTAAAATTAGTAATGCTGTTTGCCTTTTTGCCTGCAAATTTGTCTGTTATGAGTTTAACTTATAGCCTACAACCTCAGCCATTGAGCTAAAAGTTTCTTCCCCTATGTTATTCTTCCCCAAATGTTATTGAAGAACTCTGTGAAAGGGAAGCTTTTTGTTTTCCAACAATACAATTTAGCACCAAAACTGGGAATACTTCTGAGGAAAAAACAAGTTTCCTTAAACCATACTGATGATGCTAGACTGCTTTTTCATAGATTTAAAAACTTTAAGCCTCCAAATTTTGATAACAAAGCAAAAACTAGTAAAATTTGTTGAGATTATATAATAGTATAAATGAAAATCTTGTAAATGCACTTAACACAGATTAAGATTTATGGAATGATGGAATTGTATTGGTAACTTCAAATTTTCTCTTCTAGTCTTGGAACATGTAACATACAAGAAATACATATTTGGTTTGCTCTAGTTCCTGACTGAATTATTAAAATCTGTAATTTCCTGAGCAATATGGTGAGAGGAGCATCTTCTGTTGTAAAACTTAGATGGGTCTTAGTTCCCGACACAAATTCTTTGAAGAGCCTTTCAATCTCCAGGATGCTAGGAGTGTCTCTTATATTCAAATGATATGACTGGTGACTAAAACCCCTAAAGAGCTTCAACTGGGGGCTGTTCCATCAGAAAAACCAAAGTACAATTATAGGGCTGGAACTTTCAGCCTGAGCCACCCCTGTCCCCACATCCAGGAAGTGAGAGAGGCAGGAGACTCAATCACCAGTGGTCAATGATCCACTCATTCATGTGTATGTAATGAGACCTCCACCAAATCCCTAAATAAAGGGGTTTAGAGGTTTTCAAGTTGGTGAAAGCATCCAGACTAGGAGGGTAGCACATCCCTCAAACCTGAGACTGCAGTAGCTGTATTCAGGCTCCTTCCAGATCTCCCCCTATGTGCTGTTAATCTGTATCCTTTCTAACATTCTTTACAATAAGCAGGTAAGAAGAAGAAATCAATTTCCTTGAGTTCTTTGAGCTATTACAATAAATCATTAAACTTGTGTTAGACATTATGAAACCTCTGATCTGCAGCCAAGCCAGTCAGAAGTACCAGAGGCCCAGGGTTTGTGACTGATGATCAAGGAGGGGGAAGTTTTAGGATACTGACTGACCACTTAAATGGGACACTTGCACTGTGGATAGATTCAGAATGAAATTAAATTTTAGAATACCCCACTGGTATCCACAGAAAGTTGGAAACTTGTTTGCTACGGAAAACCTCCACAACTGATGTCAGAAGTTTTAAGAATAAAGTTTTTTTTTTTTTTCATTGTTTTTGATCCTTCTAAACCAAATTTGCTTAGATCGTAGAAGAATAATAGTCTGAAAACAAGCTGAATATGAAAAAAATCTATCCAACAACTTATCTATACCCAAATGTACCTTTTTGCAGTGTTCTTTACAGAAAGTGGGTTTATAATGGTTTAGAACCTGAATTCTATTTGCCCAGAAAACACCAAGTTTTCTGAAGAAAACACACACCTGTTCATTCTTGCCTAGGATACTTGGTAAGGAATGCATTCCCTATCTCTGGATGGCTAGGACTTTTTACATAGAAAATAGTGGTTTATATAACTTGGCAATACAGATCTTATGTGATATTTCAAGTTGTCTTTAATTAGATTAAGGTTGGCAAAGAAATAAAAGAGAATACTAGGATTGGAGTAAGCAATGTACCTACCCTTTACAAATGATGAACTGGTATTTATAGTTGCTTCATTCACTAGAATCATTGCTTGGATGTACTCTGTTAAGAAAGAAAAAAAAGCAAAGCCAAAGACCATCGCTTTTATTTAGGATATCAGCTACTATGCTAAACAGTTTACATTAATCTTCATAACTCCCCTAGAAAGTCTTAAGATCATCTTCATCAGAGACCAAGCAAAGAAGGCTGGGAGGTTAGCTGTTTATTCCAGGTCAACCAGCTATAACTGCTAGGACTGGATTCAAACCCACCCACACCTGACTCATGAAGAACTGAGAATACTAAAATGGAAAACAGTACCTTTTAAAACAACCAATACACAGTATGTTAATGCTACAGACCTGAGATATCACTGTAACAGGGTAGCAGATTCTACCCCAAAACAGAAAAAGCTGAAGTTCAAGCAGTGACAGGAGGAACCCCCACAGCCCTTATAACCTGTCTCCAAACTAAATCTACGTATGCATTATTTTGTTTTTTTATTTTACCTTTTCTTTTTAAAATTTTTTAACATTAACTTATTTTATGTGTATGAGTGTTCTGCCTGCATGTAAGTGCACTATTAGCATGCAATGCCTGTAGAAGCTAGAAGTGGGCGGTGTTGGATTCTCTAGAACTGGAGTTACACATGGTTAAACATCATGTGATTGCTGGTAACTGAACTGGGGCCTCTGTCAAGAGTAGCCAGTGCTCCTAACTGCTGAGTCATCTCTCCAAACCCTTATTTCTTCTTTTCTACAAAACTGTAATACTGCTTCAGGAAAGGTAGAGAAAAACTACTAATTTTTCTCTTCCCAATTTTAACCAGAACTGTAAATAAACCTCCCACCAATTCCTGTCTCACTGGGAGGTGGTGCATGTCTTTGATTCCAGCAGGGTCTCCCTATAGCCCCAACTGGCCTGGAACTCACTATGTAGACCAGGCTGGCCTCTATCTCACAAGAGATCTGCCTGGCCAAGTGATTGGATTAAATGAGTGCATCACCATGTCTGGCCTAGGTGTTTACCCAATCATGGTATGGGAAAAGCAAAGATTGTAGAAACAGAGTACAAAAAAGCAAGTAAAACTAACATTAGGGTCTTAGAAAACAAATTCTTTGACTTACAACAAACGGTACAATTATACTGTATTTCCAGTACATAATATTTAATATTAAGTGTTAGAAGTTTTCATTTTTCATACCTTTATTGGAGGCAGACCCATCTTTTATTTTCTGCCTCAGCGACTGCAGCACATCTTGTGTTTTTTCAAACATGAAGTCTACTTTTCCATTATCTTCTAGCTCCATCCAGAAAGTCTTTGCATCACCTAAAAGTGAATAACCTAAAAGTTTAATTTCCCCAGGCAAAAGTTACAGAAAAGTCTACTTGGTTTCCAAATAAAATTAAGATTCAATAGGTCTATCACTTTTCATGATGAAAAAAAGATTTTGGTTATATTCCCTTACAAAGAATTAGAAATAAAGAATATGACCCACACATTTTATTTATTCCTGTTAAGTTTAAAAATATATCAAAAACTGGGGCTGAGGATGTAGCTTGGTTGATAGGAGTACTTGTCTAGCATGCATGAAGCCCTGAGTTTGATCAATCCCTACTACTGCATAAAATTGCATGTGGTAATAGACCCTGTAATCCCAGGACTTGGGAGAGAAAGTCAGGAATATCAGAAGTTCCAGGTCATCCTTGGCTGCATAGAATCCTGTCGTTAAAAAAAAGAAAGAAAGAAAGAAAGAAAACTTCAATGATACTACTCCTTAACTGGAAGACAGGAAAATTACTCCAGGTTAGAATGTAGTAAGGCGTAAGTACAGACAATATGCATTTTAAACATTTCCAGACTATAACCCTAGTAAGTGCAGAAATAGATGGTTACAGATAAAACATCTCAATGACTGCTAAAATAACCAAATGCCCACCAATACTGCTTTTAAAAAGTCTTTATTAACTTTACATTTTTACAAGTGAATGTACATAAATTAAGGACCATTATTTCTGATTTCCAGCAAACTAATCTTAGCCAACATTTTCCAAAGAAATAAGTTTTCCAAGTTGAAAACAAGACAATTAAAATGAGCAAAACCCATTAACATTACCAAATATCATTTACATTATATTTAAAAGTAACAAAACCCTAAAAATGTCATGTACAATTTATGACATTAAAATCAAGGTATAAAATTATTTAAAATTAGTGAGCCCTTAAACAAAAAAGAGGATATACTAATTGTATTTTTGAAAAGCCACTTGAGTAGGCATTGAGAGGAGGGAGAGTTAGCTCAAATAGTTAAACATATATTTACCTTAGTAAATATTAAGCCCTAAACCTCCAAGTTTGGCAATGGAGGCAGAATCTTCACAGGAAAGGGGCTGTACCGACTCCTACTGGGAAAGTTACTTTTCCCAAAGCAGATCTTTCATTAATTAGGACTGTTGCCAAGCAGCCCCAGGAGGGGTTCTGTTTCCCTGCTAACACTGGCCTGATATATACTCAAGATGAAGCCTACTTTCCCATAGCATAGCTCAGATAAGGTTTTAAATTTGAAGAATGGTCTAAGAAGAAACATGTGAGTGACTTTCATTTTAAATCCTGTGTAGATGACTACTACAATATAAATGATTTCAGTTTCTTGCTTTTGATCTTTACTTACTTATACAATGTATACATACAGAGAATTATAATCTATGAAGTGAAAAGAACAAATGATACACTTGATCTTAGCCAAAAGGCCAAGAAGTGATGCTAACCTAAAACAGTAAATATTTCAGCATATTTCAAGAGAAGATTATTTACAAAGAATACAAGCAGGTACTTGAAAACCAATTTAATAGTATACTAGTGTTGATGCTTGCCTCCAGAATCGAAGGGTATCATTTGATAATTCTGTCTGTCCAAACGTGATCTTTTAGTCAGATAAGCACTGACTATTGGAATAACATAACCATAATAAAAGAAGTAAAACAGCTTTATATAGAAATCAATTAAACTATGTATTAGACAACTTGAGAAAGTCTTTGTAAAAAAGTAATACTTAAGAATCATACTGAATTAATTCACTAAATGAATATTTATGGGGCACACAGTAAATACATCAATACTAACTTACATACAGAAACACATTGAGGAGTTTCAGGGCACAGGGTTGACCAACAGGTGGGCCCTGGGCCAAAGTGCCTCAGGATAGCTATGGATATGGACCAAAACCAAGTAGTAAACTTGGTTAAAGCATCAGGAAATTTTTAAGGGATCTTTTTTTTCAAACTCAATTATGTGGTTCTTGAGTATAAACTTTGAAGATGCTGTCATGTTGCAATGTCAAAAGGTTAGACATGCCTGGAGGATCTCTAAGTCTATTATAATCAGCAAAATGTGGTAGGGAGATCTTTTTGAATCTTTAAATCCCTTTAGAAAATATACAAGGTTAAACTATTTTGAAAATAACTCTAAAGGGGTTTAAGATGTAGCTCAGAGGTAGTGTTGGCTTACCAGAAATTAAGCTTTGCATTTTATCCCAAGCACCTCCCCTGCCACACGCACAATGTAGTATCAATAAGACACTTGTTTTTACTAAACTGATACCACAAAGGCTATAAGTACAAGTGCTGATGTCTTACTATGAATCAAGACAAGGTCACCAAACTACACCTGTTATTGTCATCTTTGCTATCAACTTAAGAATCTCCCTGATGAAGGCTGGGAAGCTAGCTAAGTCAGTAGAGTGCCTGCCTTGTAAGCACAGGGACCTGAGTTCAATCTCCAGAACCCATATAAAACAAAAGCTGTATGTGGTGATACATGCTTATAACCTAGTAACTCTACTTGATGAGCCTCAGGTGAGAGACCCTGTCTCAAAAAAATCAAGATGGATGGCACAACACATACTCACACCCACATGAATATACACATAAAATCCCCAATGAAGCAAATAAATTACGGTAATTTGTTACTGTCACTATAGTACAATAGCTTTCTTGGGAAAAAAGGATTATTTGAGTAAACAACATAAATGCTACACTAGTTGCTGATCTTTAAAATGGAAAATCCAGCTGGAGAGATGGCTCTGCAGTTAAGAGCACTGGCTGCTCTTGCCGAGGACCTGAGTTCGATTCCCAGCACCCACATGGTAGCTAACAACAATTCCAGGTGATTTGGCATCCTCTTGTGACCTCCACAAGCACTGCATGATATGGGTGCACTTACATACATGCAGGCAATACACTCACACATATAATAGAAAAATAAAACAATAAATAAAATATTTAAAATGGAAAACCATTTTCAAAAATAAGATAAAAATGACTTCAGGTTTGGAAGTTTGGCACATTTTCTTGAAAACAAAGTGACTGTAGTACTAGAAGGATAGTATGACTGCTAGTAACAAGTTCAAGTTACCAGGTAAAAAATCTTAGAGGCCTTGGGTTTACCACAGTAAACCTGATAATGTCTCAACAATTAGTCATCTTTTAAGTGGGAGGACAAAGAATACCAGCAAATATGATTTTTGTACACTACCTGATAAAATGTGTCTTCATAATTTACAAATTATTACACAAGTGACCACCAGATAATGGTGACTCAGGTGAAAGAGTCATTAAAATACAAAACAATGTGGCTAGAAACATGTCTCAGTTGGTAAGGTACCTGTCATGCAAGCATGAAGACCTAAGTTCAGATTCCAAGGATCCATCCCCAGTGGCATGCACCTGTAATCCAAATGTTTGGAAAGGCGAGACAGGAAGACCCCTAGAGCTCATTGATCAGTGAGCCCAGCCAAACCTGTGAGCACCTGGCTCAGTGAGAAACCATGTCTCAAAAAAATAAGGCAGAAACAAAGTGAGGAAGATATCCAACCCTGATCTATGGCTTCCACAGCATACACATCTGCACACACATGTGAATATATACACACACCACACACACTAAAGGGGGAAAAAAAACCACCAAGAAAAAAAACTCCGAGAATTCCAAAATTGTCTATTAACATTAAAACATAGGGTTTAACAATGTGTTCTTCTACCTACCATTTTTTTCTCCCATCTTTTGGTGTTTATAAATATAAAATTCTTCAAAATTGTTTATCAAAGCTGCATTATAAACCACTTTGATTGGAGACTATATGAGGAATCCAACTGTAGTGTCTGAAATCTGTAGTCCTCAAACAAAATATAACATTATTACACCATTCTAAAGCCAATATTCTTTGAAACTTGAGTCTTCAAATGGAAATTGTGCTTGAAGAGACTTTCAGAAATGACTACTAGTCCAACCAATAATCAGGCACATGCTTCTTCATTGACGACTATATTGAGAGCTGTATCAGGATCACTGACAATGTCTTTTTAAAAATAAATTCCATGTATTAGTCCACAAATGCATGAAATATTCTGTAGAGAAAACAAAGAATGATGCATATTGGTAAAGAAAAAATGTTCTAACAATTTTACTTTTTAAAACTGTACAAACCATTACAAAAAGATACAGTAAATGGAAAAAAATCTACAAAACATCAAAATTTGAAAAAATTAGAGAAGAATCACTCACAACCCTATTGCCCATTTATTTATTTATTTTTTATTTATTTATTTATTTATTTAGTCTTTTTGAGACAGGGTCTTTCTGTAGCTCCAGCTGTCCTGAAACTCACTATGTAGACCAGGCTGGCCTTGAACTCACAGAGATCCACCTGCCTCTGCCTCCCAAGTGCTGGGATTAAAGGTATGCGCCACCATGCCCAACACCCATATTTTTTTTAACACCTGTTAATTGGCACTTATGTTACATTATTAATCAATACGCTATCCCCCCCTTACACTTAATGAAGCAGGGATAATGCTAATTATTGGGATGGCTTATCACCTAGAATAGTGTTGACACATAGGAAGGAGTCAATAAATGCTAGCAATTTCCTTTCAGCATATAGTTTTAAAGCAAAATTTGGATTCTACTGTACATGCTTTTTATATTCTCACTATTAACATATCCTATTCTTTGCCCCATCATTAATATTTTCACATGAGTGGACAATAATTCATACATTAAAGATTTTAATATTTAACTTTTAATAAATTAGCAATAAAGTTCTATATCAGGCCATTTAGACTTCATTTAAATTGTTATTTTTAATGTAATAATACTGGAATAAACATTTTATTTTTCTAATCATTTCCTTAGAATATATATCTAGTGGCGGAACTAAGAAGTCAATAATAAAAAAAATTTGGATAATTAAGATGTTATAGAAAACCTCTGCCACTCAGGGCTCAAGGACCATAGAGGAAGAGGAGGTGGAAAGACTGTAAGAGCCAGGAGTGGTGGATGACCATAAGGCAACAGTTTTCAAGACAGTTGAGAAGTTACTCATATAACCTACAGCAATAGTGATGGTATGCACATGATCCATGCAAGTTCAAACTAGACAAAAACCCAGAATAGAAGGGGTGAAGTGGGCAAGGAACCCCAACCTTAGCCGAGAAACTATTGGCAACAGATGACTATCGAAAGAAAGAGAGTTGTTTTTCTTTAAGGGAGTGATGCTAGATAGGTTGACCAGGCCCCAGTGGACTCTCACTAAGGGACATTCGGGAAAAGAAACTTGGCTTGATAGGCCTTAACATACATGACAGAATGCATAAAAACAGATGGGGGGCAGTAGGGGGAGTGCATATAGAGGAGGGAGTCTTAACTATAATCAACATGTATTATATGAAATTCACACAAAACAATTAAAAACCAGCCAGGCGTGGTGGCGCACACCTTTAATTCCAGTACTTGGGAGGCAGAGGCAGGCAGATCTCTGTGAGTTCAAGGCCAGCCTGGTCTACATAGTGAGTTCCAGGCTAGTTGGGGCTACAGGAAGACCCTGTCTCAAAAAGAGCAAAGGAAAGAAAAAAAAAATTGAAAACCAGATCTTCAGGGTAGGCAATATGTCTCAGCAGGTAAAGGCCCTGGCCACTAAACCTAACAACTGTGTTCAATCCCCTGGTCCCACATGCTGGAACAAGAACACTGACTCCTACACACGCCGCCCCCCTCCTCCACACACAGGTGCACACACACACACAGAGTCATGTTAAAAACTGTAAGGGAACTGAACAGATGAAGTCTGTGAGGGCTCTGAGGAAACGAAACAGACGAAAAGCTCAAGGTAATGTCAACCACAATCACAACACTTAAAGGATGTCAGGAAGCCTCCCTAAGGAGCTAAGAGTATGAAAGAGACCTAACAAGCCCAACAAACTGAAGAATTTATGCTTAAGAGAATTCCCCAAAATTTTCAACAAATGTAATTACATTTGATATCCTCAAAGGGTTAAAAAAAATACACAATTCTGAAAAATAACCCAAAAGATATCAAACAGAAATATAAAAACAGTTGCCGGAATGAACTCTATAGGTGACAATAACAAAACAGATCCACAGGTAAAGCCACTTAGTAGACTGGAAGATGAAGTTAGTGATTTATGGAGAAAAGAGAGAAAAGAAATACAGGAATGAGGCCATAATGATCAGGAATTCCTCAGAACAGGAAAACACGTAAATCCTTTTAGTTCACAGCATGTCAAACAGAACAGTTTTTCTGTTTTTCTTTTTGAGACAGGGTCTCATGTATCCCAGACTGGCCTAGAACTCAACTATAAATCCAAGGATGGCCTTGAACTTCTGAGACTCATGCCCCTGCCTCCTGAGTACTGGGATGCGACACCACACTTGGTTTTATAAGGTGCTGGGGACCCAAACCAGGGCTTTGTGCATGCTAGGCAAGTACTTTATCAACCTAGATCCACCCTGCGCCCCAGGATACACTTAATATACACCCCCAGACAATTGTGATATGCTTCCAAATACCAAAAATAAAACATACTCTTAGAAACTTGAAAAGAGCCTTAACTTCAGCACTTGCGATGTCGAGACTGGAGCACCTGTGGTTCAAGGTCATCCACTAGACTGGCAACAAGATACCCTGTCTCAAAACGAAGCCACACACACACACACACAAATCAAAAAAGAAAAAAAAAAAAAAAAAAAGGTGCTATCAACGTTTTTCAAACTTCCCAGTCTGAAAATAACTATATTTACAAAAGAAAAAAAATTTACATACGAAAATTTGCAAAATGCAGGAACGTCATGAAGAAAATTTAAACCATAAACTTATCTTCCAGAGACAGTGCTAATACTACAGTCACTGGAATTGAAATTTGGTTCTTTTAGCGTCTTATTTTTCCTTTTTCACTGGGTAGAAAATATAGTCTGCTTCACGCCAGTGTAACTTTCTTTTTTCTTAAAAAGAAATAACGGCGAAGATTCCACAATTTCCTCTTGGTATGATGGAGATGACATGTACTGAGTACAAACGACATGTCACGCACGTTTTGAATTACGTCGTGTGTTCTTATTCGCCCACTAACAATCGAGGGCAAACTTTCTCTAATAAGGACAAGGCATGCCGTAGTGTAAGGGGCCGCCTGCTTTGAGCTCATCTTCTGGTCACCCCAAATCCAAGGCTTCAAACTCCCTCTGTCCTTGGCCTCCATTAACAGATCCAGAACCCACTGTGCGCTCCCACAAGCCAAGGGCGCTTTTCCTGATTAGACTGTGGGTGACGAGTCAGGAGCTCTGAGATCTAATTTCAACTCCGGGCTCCTGGCTAAATAATTCCATTAATTTCGGGCTTGCGTGACCTTACCTGGAAAATGGGTTAAACCTGAAGGTTCTGCTTCTGAATTTTAGACTCCACTGCCTGCAGCCCGTTACAGCCTCAGGGTCTCAGAGTCCCCCTGTGATGGAGGTCTTCACCGGAAACGAGGCAAAGGGGGCGGCTGGGAGCCCTGACCACGCGCCGCTACCGTGGAGGCGTTTTCCACGCTGCGCTCCAGTGGCGGTGTAGAACGCACGGCCACTCGTGCGCTAGGGCGGGGAAGGTGTCACTTCTTTCCTAGATCTCACCTCCGCCCAAGAGGGGCAGGCGCGCAACCTGCACACTCTAACAGCTCTCCCGTTACTCCCCACAGGAGAGCCCGCCGCCGCCACGCGCGCCACCACCCGGCCCGAAGCCTATTGGCCGCACAGACAACCGGCCGACGACTCAGACGCTCTGCCTGTGCTCTGCTGCCCCACTGAGGCCTGCGGGGCGCGCCGCCTCCTGATTGGTTGCTGGCGCTCCCGGCTGGTCTCGCGCTATCTGGCTCGGCCAATAGGGTTCCCTACAGACTAGTGAGCAGCCTCGCTGGAGTGGTGGCGCAGCGGTTCCTTCGGTAGGTGTGTGGCTGCCATCTTGTGTGTGGCTGCGACCGTGGTCTACGGGTCCTGAAAGCGCGTGTAGAGCGGCTGGTTCTAGTAGAAGAGTCCCGAGGGACGATTAGGGGTGTTGGAAGGGGTGAGGAGACTTCTCTGAATGGATGGGTCTCCTGTACCGGAGTTTCATCCCTGGTGGGGGGAGGCAGCCGTCGTGGTGGTGGTGGTGGTGAGACCCCAGGCTTTTGTTTGTGGGTCTTTTGGTGCTTTGATGCCTCAACGTTGATTCCTTGATTTCTGAGTATTCTTGCAGTGGGGGAGACTGATCATTGCTTCCTCTAATGACAAAGGAAGCAGGATTCCGAAAGAGGGAATGGAGGGAAGACTGGGAGATGATCTACCTACCAGTTGTCCTCAAGTTCCATAGTGACCCCTTCGTGGTTTAGCGTTGGCCGTGGAACGGCTGCTCAACAACCTTTTGCTCCTCCAGAGTTCTTGGAAGTGACCCTTAGCCTAAGACCATCCTACCGTATTAGTGAACATCACGTTGTGAGAGAGTAGTTCTAAAACTATGGTAGCCTGCAGATATGGGGAGTGAAGGAGAGGTTGGGGGGGGGCGGTTAAAGTGAGGGAGGGGATTATCTGGCTTCAGAGTAAGCTTTGTGGCTCAGGCTAATCTTGAACGCCCTTATCCTCCTGCCTCCACTATCCAAATGCTGTCCTTGTTGAAGATTTGCAAATTTCCCAGGAGCTGCTGTGCTTCATCACAGAATAGGAGTTGTTTTTTTTTGTTTTTTTTTGTTTTTTTTTTTTTTTTTTTTGAGGGAATACTCCCAAGAAAACAGTTCTAGTGAGGAGGTGGAGTCGGTCGGGGTTGGGTATGGTAGGGAAGAATTACCATAGCTGCTTCTCTAAGCCTATTGTTCCCCTATGGTGCTGGCTCTCCCCTCTCTTGTTACCTTCCCCCCTTCCCCTCTCTCTTCCTCTTCCTTTCTCCCTCCCCTTGTATCCTGTCCTGTCACTGACGCCTCAGTTGAAGTAGAACGCACGCCTTATCTTTCATTTGAGCGAAGTTATCAGATCTACAATCCAGGCCAATTATACACCAGTATTTTGTGATGAACAGTTTTGACATGCATGAGAAGCAGAGGCTTGTCTTAGTGCTTCCACTTTGTTCTTCAGTTACTCAAGTGATGGCTTAGCTGAGGCAGCACTACACGATGTAGGCATTTCATGACAGAGGTAACAAAACCAGCAAAATAGTTGAAAATAATTTTACTTAATTCGTTTTTAAAATCTTGATTCATACCAAACCTTAATTGTAAGATTTAAAATATCCATAATTTAGTATTGAGTTGATGGCTACAGTATTAGTGTTATAAGGCATTTATGTTCCTAAACCTTCAAACTTGGCTTCCCTGTTTTTAAAACAGATTAGGAAACAAGTTGGCAAAGCAAAATGGATTTATTTGCAGGTTGACCAAGGGGTGGTGGGAAAAAGTCTTAATTTCCTTCCTACTGTGCCTGTGGCCATGTTAATTTATAGAAAACCTTGGGACAAAGGATAAAACACAGGCAAATTATGAGATTTTTTTTTTGTGTGTGTGTGTGTATTTCATACAAAACATCTTAATCATCTTTATACCCCGCCTCAATGCAGATTCATCCACGGGGGTCTAGTCAGCCTATCTAGAGTCACTCCTTTAGAGAAGATCAGCTCTCCCTCATGGAGCAGTTATCAACTACCAATAGTTCTTCAGTTAAGATTGGGACCTGCTGCCCATTTTCCCAGTTCTCTGCTGGTTTTTTGTCTGCTTGAGTTTGCATGGGTCTCGTGCATGCTGACACCATTGTTGTAGATTCATATGAGCAAGGTCCTAGGAGACGGTAAAACTGTTTCCTTATCATGCACCTTCTCCCCTGGCTCTTAAAATCTTTCTACCCCCACTTCCACAATTGTCCCTGGGCCCTGGGTGGGTGGATTTTAATATAGGACTCCTGTCCAAGGATCCACATTCTGCCAACTCTTATTCTCTACATTTTGGCCATTTGTGGCCCTTTGCATTCCTGGCCCTCTGTTGCATGAGGGAGCTTCATTGATGAGGATTGAAAGATGCATTAGTGTTCTCTTCATCCCTTGTTTTATGTTCTGTGAATCTTAGGTATAGAAGTTGCACCCTAGATGTACCACTTAGGCTTGGGCAATTCACAGAGAATATGTGTGTGACCAGTTGTGGAGCTCTGTAATAGTCTCCGTCTGTTGAAAAAGAAGCTTCTTTGAAGAGTGGTGATTGGCATACTTTGTCCCATTCTAGGTTTTCTTCTTCACTGCCTTGGTGGTTTCTTTTGCTGAACAGAAGCTTTTTAGTTTAATGATGTCCCATTTGTTGATTGTTAACCTTAATTCCTGAGCAATTGATATCTGATTTAGAAAGTCCTTTCCTACACCTATATATCTTGTTATTGCCAATGTTTTCTTCTAACAGTTTCAGGTTTCACATTGAGGTCTTTGATCCATTTGGAGTTGAAATTTGTGCAGGGTGAAAGATAAGGGTCTAGTTTCATTCTTTTACAGGTGGAGATTCAGTTTTGCTAGCACCATTTGTTGAATATGCTCTTCCTTCCATTGTGTGTTCTTGACCCCTTTGTCAAACATCAGGTGGCTGAAATTGCATGCACTCATGTTTGGGTCTTTATGCTCCATTGATGTATGTGTATATTTTTTGGTCCAGTACCATGCTGTTTCTATGACTGTAGCTCTAGAATATAGTTTGAGATCTGGTATGGTAATCCCCCCAGCATTGCTCTTTGTGCTCAGGGTTGCTTTGGCTATTCTGGGGTCTTTTGTGCTTCCATATGAATTGTAGGATCTTTTTTTTTCCTAATTCTGTGAAGAATGGCATAGGAATTTTGGTTGGGATTTCATTGACTCTATAGATTGCTTTTGGTAAGATGGTCATTTTCACAAGATTAATTCTTCCAATCCATGAGCATGGGAGGTCCATTTCTTGGTGACTTCCTCAAGCTCTTCAAAGATTTAAAATTTTCATTGTAAAGATCTTTAATGCCTTTGGTCAAGATTTTCATTATAGAGGTCTTTAATGTCTTTGGTCAAGTTTATTCCTAGATTTTTTTGAAGCTATTATGAATTGGAGAGTTTCCATGTACTCTTTCTCCAATTACTTCTTATTGGTATGTAGAAAGGCTAATGAATTTTTAGATTGATTTTTGTAACCTGCCACTTTGCTGAAAGTATTAATCATTTCTAGGAGTTTTCTGGTGGAGTTTTTTTGATCTCTTATGTATAATATATCATCTGCAAAAAGGAATAACTTCTTTTCCAATTACTTCTTTAATTCCCTTCTCTTGTCTTATCGCTGTAGCAAGAATTTCAGGCAGAGGGATAGGTATGGTGCAGTGTGATTTGGCCAGCTTACCCTGGAGGCCAAGTCAGACCGTCTTGAAAGGACTATATGCAAGGAGAGGTTATGGGAGAAGGATGTCCAAGCCCCTACCAGACAGCAGGAAAACCTGGTCCTAGGGAAGGGGGAACTGCACGGTTTGGCAAGCTCACCCTGGATGCTGAGTCAGGCACCTCAGGCAGTCTTGAAGGGTCTTGAGACAGTTTTTCAAAAATACAAAAATTTCATTGATTATATGAATACTACAGATTACGTTGGTCATTTTGATGGTTAGAGTTTTAAATCTTTTTAGTTGTGTTATTTAATTTATCCCCATAATGAATTATATTGACTAAAAATTAGGACGGTAATGACTAAATCTATCCAAGTAAAACAAGAGTATATAGATATTTCTGAAAATTCAGAATGTTCCCAAAGTGGTAGTTTATGTAATCGAATAATTTGTATCAAGATATTTGTAGATTTTAAAAATAAATTTAATTTTAAAGGATTGGTAGTGTTGCTCATTGATAGAGCATATACTTAGCATACAAGAAACCCCGAGTCAGCACCAAAATAGATAAATAACAAGAATCATGAGACTTTCTATGAATCAGTGTTAAACATAGTGAAATATTCAGATTCAGATGGTTTCCCTTGGGAAGTTAAAAAAAAGCATAAAGTATCATATAGCTGACCCATCCTCCCCGCCTTCCCTCTTTCACAGGGCTCTCGATCTATAAGCCCTATTTGGTTTTATTTTTTTTATCTCAGTACTGGAGATTGAACCTAGAACCTAATGCATGCCAGGCAGTGGCTCTTCCATTGAGTTCCATTCTCTAGCCTTGGCCTTTTGTTGCTGCTATTGTTTTGTTTTTGTTAAGGGATAAAGTGATCCTTTTCTAGGCAAACCTGTAACTTCTTCATTTAATGTTATTTATTCCTGTTGCTTAAACTAACATTTTGATGCGAGTGAGACCTAATGTCAGGTTTTCTCTTGAGCACTGAAAACACATTTCTTAAAGCCTTTTGGCAGATTGTAGTTTGTCCTCAACTCTTCCCTTTTATGTTTCCTACCTATTTGACTCCTGCCCTAGGCATCTTCTATGTGGTTGGAATTTAAAAGCAAATTCTTCCTTTCATCCAACTTAATCACCTATCTGCAGCTTCAGTTCCTATAATGGTTTACCTTTTTCATTTTTGCTCTCATTTCTCCCACTCTAATTCAGTATTTTATCTGTGGGCGTGGTGGCCCAGGCCTGAATTCCTGGGGAAATTGAGGCAGGAAGATGAAAATGTTGAGGCCCACCTGGCCTATCTATAAAGTGAAATTCTCTCTTGGGGGCTGAAGAGATGGCTCAGCGGTTAAGAACACTGGCTGTTCTTGCAGAAGACCCAGGTTTGAATCCCAGCACCCACACGGCAGCTGACAGCTGTCCATAACTCCAGTTTCAGGGGATCCGACAGCCTCTTCTGTCGTCTTTGGGCATTGCATGACATGGGTGCACTTATATACATGCAGGCAATACATGCATACACATAAAATAAAAATAAAATATTTTAAAGTAAAACAAAAAATGAAAACATTTTATATGCCATTGTATTCATGACAAATCCTATATTCCTCAGCTTGGAGTTTATTTTAGTTAAGATATAGTTTGGCTTCTGTGATAGAGAAACTAAAAAGTAAATGTAGCCTGTAAGGATAAACTTTATTTCTTCACTGTGTAAAAATCATGAG